CGAGAACTGTCCTTGCGGCAGTAATGCGAGTCTACGTGAGGAAAACGATTAATATGTTTAGTAATAATTTCTCTTAAACTTTGGTCTCTCAAAACTAATTTTTGGACACGACCACCTCGATTATCCTTATCTATTACACCGGAAGTTCAGTAATGAAGGTCAAATATAATTGCGGCTGCTGTAGAGTGTTTTCATTGTCAAACCTACTCTCACTAAAACCACCGAATAAATATAAGAAGAAGGGTCAGCCGGCGCTCTAGCTTTCATGTGGCGTTTACAAAGACGAGCCGCGGCGGCAGCAAAAAATTGTATGGTCGTATGCCGCCGCTGGGTCGAGCGCTCGAATACGGGGGTTTCTTCAAAAATAATTCGAACGCGGCGCGGCGCGGTGGATGGAATTAAATGTAAATAGTACGAGTATAAAGTCTGGTCGGTATGTATTTGAAATAGGATAACGTATAATAAACAAACATATTATATATACAGGGTGTCCCAGAAATAAGTGCAGATATTTTAACTGGTAGTATAGTTCAACCCCAGAAACACGCCTAAAGGTGCGTATTCATTATCCGCACGAACGAACGAACGAATGTTCGCTAGTGGTATGGACGGGGACCGCACGATAGAACCGCACGAGAAGACCGCACGCATTTCTTCATTCGCGCGCCAGTTCAAATCGTCAAGATATTGTTATAAACCTGTTTTTTTTTTTGTTTATATACCGTCATTGAATTATCGCTAAGCAAGTTACTATGGAGCAGTGCATAAGGAGTCGGGCTAGGAAGCGAGAGTCCGGAGTTCGAATCTCGGCCTCTAATTTTTTTTTTAAATACTGTTGTATTCTATAGTTTATTTTTGTAGTATAAGAAAAAAGAACTATTTATTCTGTTATTTTTTAATCTCCGTTATTAATATAAATTGATTGTTAGTACAATACCTCATTTAATATAAAATAATATTCTACTTTTTGAAATGTATCGGGCCCTAATTGTACCTAAAAGTAATATATTTTTAGTGATATACCATATTGTAAACTATTTAATATTTCAGTCGCTTAAAAAGTTAATTTGCATTGAATAATTGCCTACCATTAAAGGAAATTTGAGCTATATATATGGATGATGGGCACACTTGATGGGCATATTCTGGGTATGCAAATACTTCCTTTAAATTTTGGGTGTGGTTCAACCGATTTATTCTCAAAACCAGAAACATCTACATATAAAAAGAAGCACAGGTCACTAATTATAATAAACTTCACCCTTGATAACTTCCACTAATTATAATAAACTTCACCCTTGGAATTATTTCTATCACAATTACAGTACGTTCATCTGCATTGGCATTTTCTACTTTTCGATGGGAAACAATAAACTTCCCAACATTTTTTAAATGATGTAACAATTCCTCTTGTGATTACTTTTCCATAGATATCCTCATCTCTGTCCTCATGTGAATTCAGAGGCAATAAAAATGAAAATTATTTACCATAAACATCGCAAACTAAAAACCTAATAAACAATTTTATACCGAATATAGAAATAAATTTAGTATTTTTATCTATTATCGTCCAAATCCATGTTAATAGATAATTATTATTTTTAAATATATTTTTGGAACTGCTGGTTTTAGTAATTATTAAATTAAACGAACTAAAAAATCTTAAAAATAAACAATTCTTAACCATAACCTCAAAAATGCAGATCTCCTGTCAACTTTCTTTATTTTTTATTTATTCATTATTTTCCTAGTGACGTCACAGGTGGTATGCGCGAACTGAACGAAATTGGAGCCGCTATCGATCATCATACCTTGTATTCTTTGTACCATGACGTCTAAACGCCTTTGATGTACCGACTCGAAGCGGATGGTCGAGCGCACGAACGAACGAACGGCCGCATGCGTTCGGTCCCCGTCTAAATATACCGCACTTTCATTCGTTCGTTCGTTCGTTCGGATAATGAATACGCACCTTAAATCTGAAAGCGCACGCAGGCGAACGCCTTTGATGTACCGACTCGAAGCGGATGGTCGAGCGCACGACCGAACGAACGGCCGCATGCGTTCGGTCCCCGTCTAAATATACCGCACTTTCATTCGTTCGTTCGTTCGTTCGTTCGGATAATGAATACGCACCTTAAGAGGTTTTTTCCGCAAAAAAAAAATTGAAAATTCGAAATTTTTTGAAAAATTTTTTGGAAATTTTTTTAGTTTTTAGTTAAAAAACATAATTTCTTGATAATATGGAAAGAAAATCCAGAAAAGATCCAGTGGTTCTCAAAATTTTAGCAAAAAATAATTTTTTTTGGAAATTTTCAAAGTAAAATAACTCCGTTATTTTGGACTTATTTGAAAAACGATAAAGAGAAAATATGTTTCTTTTATCGAGATCTACCACCCCTTAAAATATTTGCACTTATTTCTGGGACACCCTGTATATACATAAATATATTAAATGTGTATATTTATTTACACAGAACAAAAACAGAACAAAAAAATAATAACAAACTTAATGACATTAAAAAGCACAATCCGAGGCAAAATAATAAAAACAAAGTTATCTCTTTGAAACATATTACACATAAAAAAACAGGCAAATGAATGAGCAGAATGAGTAATAAATATACATGTATGTATAATGTTAAATAAAGAAATAAAAATAAAGAAAACATAGGGAACACATTTTTAAAAAAAAAAGAACATCACGTCGAGATGGATGATCTCAATTTAGTAAGTTTTTACCAATAGAGCTAGGTAACAGAAAACTGAAGGTGCAACATCACATTTTTTATATTTTGTAAACCACTGTCAAAATTAACTGATATACAAAAATATCAAAATTATAATATATGTAGGTGGGAAGTTATAGATTTTGCAATATGCTTAACTTTATATTGGGTTTTGAAGGTTGTTTGTTTCGAATTTGAGTGTTGATATCTCGGTTTGCAAATTTAACAGTATAATATATTCTGACTCTGGTATAAAGAGACAAAAAATAATTAAATGGGAACAGCGGACAAGGATGTGTAAAAGTACTTGTTTTAAACAAATCTTTTAGTTTTGCAGCAATAAATCTATTCGCAGCCAAATCGTTAAAATTTTTCATAAATATATATTCTAATTGTTTAATGTATTCTACCGCATTTAAATGAGGTAAATTTAAACCGCCATCTTGTGAATTAGAATACGACTTGGCTTCAAAAAAAAAGGTTTCTTGCTTTTGGAAAGATTGTTTTCCATTGTATTCTTTACATATGTTACATGAGTGTTGTATCAGACATTTTTTCAATAAATAACCTGTGATATAGATCAAAGCGTTACCATCGGTACTACAAAGTGTGCGATAGTCACTCGTATATATTTTAAGTGAATTTTTTGTGTTTTGGGGGATATTCATTTTCTGACAGGTCTCAATTACGTCAGGTGTTACATTATTTAATAATACAATATTCACATCATCCATACAATTTGCACTCCCTTCATTGATACATCTTAATGAAAAAAGTTTTTTGAAAGCTCTAGAAAACTGGATCGGCGTGGGATTTCTACAGTTACCTCCACAATTTCTAATCTGTCCGAAAAAGTTTTCGAGACAATCTTGGTTCAAGTTACGTGTCATTAAAAAAGAATATTTTTTTGATTTTAAAATATCCCATAAAGCTTTAAGCGAACTAATCGTCAATTTTAACCCGTATATAAAATGCATTGTACTGTTGAAACATTTTTCTACGACAATGTGTTTCCCATCTTTATCTTTGGAATTTACCATTTTTACAACTTTTAAGTTATTAAGCATATCAGTAATTTCCTCTAAAAATTGTATTTGTTTCTCTGTCCCCCTAAAAACGTTGAAATTTTGTAAGTTGCACGAATTTAACAAATCAAATAAATCATTAACTTTTTGTACAAAATTTGCTGTTAATCTAGCCTCTGGTGGTAAAAACTTAAAATCTATATATGCGTGCAAAGCTGCTGCCACCGAATGGCTAAATATTTGAGAAGCATATTTCACCTTCATTTTCTGAAAGCTACTAGGAGATAAGTGTTCATCGGTTAATTTAGGGCACATCCTACTTGCCTTTTTCTTGTCAGATTGATAAAAAATATCTAAATAGCACTTCTTTATTAAGCCTTCTGGTAAGCGGAAATCATAGGAGAAAAAGTTATTTCGGATAGATTTTAGAAGGTGAGGTGCATCAAAAAAATAAACAAGTTTTAAATTATCAACACTAAAATATACATTTTCCGGGGTTAATTTTAAAATTTTATTTACTAGTTTTCGAAAATTAGAGCCTTGATCTGAAACGACTCCCATTACATTAAAACCAATTGAATTTAATTTTCGAACGCTTTCAAATAAAATTTCTTTCACCTCTTCTGCAGGAGCAGCTGAATTATAAAAAAAATACCCAATTGGCTGTTTCCAGCTAGAGGCAATTCCACGCGCCATGACTACCAAGACAGAAGTTGCAATTTTTGTACTATCTGAATACCCCTCCTGGAATCCAACGATTTTGTCTTTGCCTATGTCGTAAAAAAAATTCGATTTTATAGACATTTCGTCAAGGCATATAATACAGTCATTCTCCTTCTCCGTAAGAAATTTCGCTCGAAATTTAAGTAAACCAAAAATAAACTCATTGAATCCAGGATTAACTACCCATTTTCTAGTAAATCGGGACAGCGTACTTTTTGAGGGCATTTGATACAAACTTGAAAATTGTTTATAGGCCTTAGGGCCCAAAAAGTTAACGCTTACAGCGAATCGCTTATATTCTTCGGAATACCTGCAACCTTTTGGGGATTTATTTAATAAATCTAACTGAATTTTAATAAGTTGGCATGACTTTGCCGGATATTTATCTTCTAAAAACCTATGCACATCTTCAATAGTAATATTTGTCTCCAACTGCCTCTGACACTTTGGATCCTTTGACTCTGTTGCACTACTTGAGGCCCTTTTTTTAGACTTCTTATTTTTTCCTTTAAGATAGATTTCCTCAGGTGTTTGCTGACAGTATGGCTGTTGTTTGTGTAGATCTGCTATATAATTTAGACGTATCAGTTTGCGAAGATGCGTCGTTGCTCTTTTCACGATTAAGGTTAAAATCCGTCTGTAAACCTGCATCTTCTAAGTTAATGCAATCGGTTTGAATGGAGGCATCCATATTTCTTTCATAGCCCAAGTTTAAGGACGGAATTGCATTATATTTCAGACCAGGTCTGAAGCTATTTTCCAGGAAATCATGAGTTGTAAAATGCAAATCACATACTGCCAATCTGACATAACACTGTCCCACAGTAAGATTAGCATATTTGTGCGCTCCTACAAACTTCAAAACGTCTTTCCAACGTTGGCATCTGTAAAAATCCAAAGTACAAAAATATATTTTTTTTTAAGCTTATAAAGAAGAGGATAATCACGCTGTTCGCAGAAATGTAGCAAAATACTATACACTTACACATCTTGCACATCAGACCACATTTCTTACCTTATTTCATCTCTCGGACAACGAAAACATATTCTCCCACCAGGTCCTTGCCTGCTATTGCAGCCCTCTACGCAACAAGATCTCGGCATTTTTATAACCAACCTTTATAATAGTTTAATAAATATACTATGTACAAAAAAACACACCGATTTCAAATAAGACCTTCCGGTAGTGAAGACAACCTGCAATTAATTAACTGACTCACAACGTATTATTCGCCCCGGCCTGGTATACTGCGAGCGTTAAGCCTTCACACACGTGCATATCGACGGACTCCGCCTGACTCCGAGAAACGGTTGCGACAGCGACCAAACACAGCCGCGTGGAAATAACGTAAAATAGGGCGGGACTTAGAGTGACCCTTCTTGCTATATTAATGTTCGGTGCTAAAACTTAGAAAAATGAAAATAAAATATATTAGAAATATTATTATTATTTTATCAGATTTTTATTTAATTTTAGACAAAAGATGTTATCAAGATGGTCACAGCTTTTTTTCTCGGCTGCCTATTGATTCTGCAAATATTTATTTTCGCCTATGTTTCTGATACGTTAAAAGAACAGGTATTTTTATATAAATATCTTGGCATGTCTTCTTCGCCTCTTTATAACTTTCTGTTTCTCTTTACTTTCAAGAGTGTCGCATTTGCTGATTATATTTATGGGAGTCCCTGGTACCAAGCTAAGAAAGAAATTTCTTCTCTGCTAGGTATAATGATAATGAGAGCACAAAAACCGCTGGTGATAACAATAGGACCATTTTCAGCCATGTCTGCTAATTCCTCTTTAATGGTAATGTATTTTAAAAATTGTTATAAATAAAAAAATATAAATAAAAATTTGGTTTTAGATTTTGAAAGCATCTTACTCTTATTCAACACTTATGATAAAGCAATACATGAAAAATTGAAGCAACGTTTTTATAGGACGTAAAAATTTTGTAGATTAGTCTCATTCACTATTTACCACGTTATTGTTTTCTTAATACAGCAAGTGGAAAAGCATTTTAGCTTCAAAATTTTAAATGTAGAACTTACCTAAAAAAATTATTATTAATTTTGATCAATGGCGGCTTAACCATGAGGTCAAATAGTCAATCCCTCCCCCCAAAAAAAAAATCAAGAGAAAATTAGAAAAACCTATTTAAATTATACTTTTTGTAAATCACATTTATTCATCCTAAGATATTCAAAACTATTCTCAAAAATCTTCAATTTGTCCAATTTTCGCTTGAAAACGTTTTTTATCCATTTTCTCTACTGCCGGTCAAAATTTCATTTTGCCCTTCGTTCGCGCTATGTTTTACAGGTATTAAACTCCAAATGCCGCGCCGTAAGGTATACTACGTATAGAAAATATAATGGGTTAAGGTGCGATAGATATAGTTTATATTGGCCATTGACGGCGCCATTCATAAAAGGATTTCAGTCATATCGCTGGAAAAACTTCGCCGTTTGGGCAGTTTGGGTGTTATATAAACTCAAATTATAAAACAATCTAGGGTTTTGTATCGTTTATCGCGAATCGCGTATAATGTTTGGTTTAGTCATTATAAACATTAAAATTTTTAATATCGAAAAAAATCCGAAGCGAAATTTTTGTAGGTTCATACTTTCATAATTTTCTGGTTACAGATAAATGATTGTTGTTGACTGATTCTGGAATAAAGGGAAATTAAAACAACTTTGGTTGCACGTCATCAATGACACCATGCGTCGTCTTATGGAGTTTGCTGGTGGTCTTATTATGATGTGCAACTAAAGTTATTTTAATTTCCCTTTTAGATATTTTCAAATAAACAACATGGTGTTTAGTTTGTAAAATCTTGCTGTTAAAAGAAAACATTTGCTTACATTTAGAAAAAAGTTTAGAGAAAAAACGCCGCATTGACTTAAAATATAAAAAAATGTAAAATAAAACTTTTAGAAATGTGTATGAGTATATATGTATCTATATTTTTGTGATATTATTATTTAAGTGTCTTTTAAATCCTATCGTGGAAAATTTATGTAAAGAACATTGACTGGATTTTTAGTGAAATAGCACTATACCATCTGTTTAAAAATGTAAGGGTAGGTTTCATTTTAACATAATTTGTATTTATTTTTAGATTGATTTTCCTTTAACTAAACGTACAAGTACCTTGTAAGAAACCAATTAAGTTTGGGCGCGTCTTAAAAAAAATCGACGCAATATTTTTAGATTGTATTTTAGATATTGACCTCCCTACAATAATGACCATGAGCCGCCACTGATTTTGATAGACAGTAGAAAATAAATACTAACGTATTTTTTTATTTTTTTCGTACGTTGAATATTGAGGGAAATGTAACGTTTTGAAAAAATTGCTCAAGCGTAGTGTATGACGTCACGCCACGTTAAGTATATCTATACCGGGTGCGTCTCAAAAGTGGCTCACCCCTATAACTTTTTTATTTTATCAGATAAAAAAACGAGATTCGGTATGTTAGTATATGACATAAATTAGGATTGATTGACGTATTAAATTCTTTTCGGTCACATCCTGTTTCACCGGAAATAACTACAACTTTTGATTTTTAAATGGCACCCTCGGTATTTTTTTACTTTATTCGATAGAAAATGACATTCTGAATAGAATGACATATCATATGTCAACTTTTGACACTTTTGCTTAAAACAAAATTGGATTTTAAATTTCAATCTAGAGTGCCATGGCTGTGTTAAAAACACTAATTTTTAATCAAGGAGCCTTGGAAAAAGTTAATGTTATTCGTTTCTTGTCCTAGCCGGTTAAAAATGCCTAAATCGTATTTTTAATCATATCTCATTTTTTTCAAATGGAACAAGGTTGGCTCATATTGATATTTGGAAAAAGCATTTTTTTTACAAATAATTTGGTACCTACCACACACTTGGTGTTTCGAGTCAAATTGTTATGAATCGCATGTTGCAATTTCAAATAAACCATATTCGAAAATGTTAAAAGTTGGCATATGATATGTCATTCTACTCAGAGCGTAATTTTCTATCGAATAAAGTAACAAAACACCGAGGTTATCATTTAAAAATCAAAAGTTGTAGTCACTTCCGGTGAAACAGAAAGTGACAGAAAACAATTGATTACGTCAATTAATCCGGAGCTAGAAAAAAAAAATAAAAAAACACGGGTCTATTTTTTTTCAATTCACCACAATTTCTAATAAAAAAAAACTTAATTTAATTTTTTATGTAAGTTCCCCATTATACAGGGTTGTTCACCACATACGACACGGAGTATTGTAGCTAAACGATGAGATTTTTACAAATTGTAAGTTTTGGGTTCGATGAAGGACTATTAGAGGTACAATTTAAAAATAATTTTACAACATACAGAGTGTCCCAAATAAGTAAAAAATATCAAAGTTGTATTTTTTTAAATGGAACACCCTGTATAGTATTACATTTTTAGTTTCTACGATTAAAATAAAGGTAAGTTTGATTTGAGGTTTATTATACGTAAACCTTACCGTTTTTGAAATATTTTCAATTTTGTGAAATTGCAGTAAAAATTTTAAGGCTTCAATTCTCCAAGGGTATCAAAGTTTTTAATACTAAATATTTACTGAAGTTTATTTACTGATCAGTTATTGTGTTGCAATAATAAAAATAATACTACCTTATACAGAGTGTCTAAAAATTTATTTTAAATAATTATTAGCTTCAAACGGCAATAACTTGTTTAATTTAAATGGAACACCCTATATATTTTACGAGAATAAGATGCACAATTTAATTGTCTATCAAATTATATTATACCATTTTTTACCTATCTCTTTAAGTTTCCGTAGAAAATCCATTTTCTTGTAATTTAGAACTTATTTATCAATATACCCATGGACTATTGACATTTTAGATTATTTTTAAAGATGTACCAAATTTTTAAAGAGTACAGATACTAATATTGTCGATATAATTCGTTTATTTCATTAAAAAATAAAAAAAACTGTTTAAATATTTGTTAAAGAGGACCAATTAATATGATTCCAGTATTCAAACTACATTAACTGACTCTTTGCGTTGATTAATAATAATTGCTCCAAATACTAAAAAACTGAATTTTGTATGGGCATTAGACAGTGTAATAAAAAGTAACACCTTAAAAATGATATTTCATTTTTTAATAAATGCTTATTTATAACAACAGAGACTTTAATTTGATAACTTATTATTATATTGATTTCTGACTCAAATCCACATTTATTTATAATAATTTATTAACGAACACAATTAAGTATGTAATTAATTAGTGTATGGGCGGAAATAATGGTGTTATATTTAATTAAGGGTACACTCTTTTATCAAGATTTAAATAGTTTTCTTTTTCCATGCAAATGGGCTAGTAATATTATCGTTTTGCTAAAAACGATAATATTTAACGATTTTTCTCCTTTTGCTAAAAACGATAATATTACTAGTCTGTACATTTTGTACATTTGTTGCTTTAAAAACAATCTAAAATGTTAATATTCCATGGATATATAAATGAGGTCTAAATTATAAGAAAATGCATTTTCTACGAAAACTTGAAGGGATAGGTAAAAAATGGTATAATACAATTTGATAGACAATTTAATTGTGCATCTGATTCTCCTAAAATATACAGGGCATTCCATTTAAATTAAAGAAGTTATTGCCGTTTGAAGCTAATAATTATTTAAAATAAATTTTTAGACACTCTGTATAAGGTAGTATTATTTTTATTATTGCAACACTGATCAATAAATAAACTTCATTAAATATTTAGTATTAAAAACATTGATACCCTTGGAGAAATGAAGCTTTAAAATTTTTACTGCATTTTCACAAAATTGAAAATATTTCAAAAACGGTAAGGTTTAAGTATAATAAACCTTAATCAAATTTCCCTTTATTTTAATCGTAGAAACTAAAAATGTAATAATATACAGAGTGTTCCATTTAAAAAAATACAACTTTGATATTTTTTATTTATTTGGGACACTCTGTATCTTGTAAAGATATTTTTAAATTGTATCTCTAATAGTCCTTCAATGAACCCCAAACTTACAATTTGTAAAAATCTCATCGTTTAGCTACAATACTCCGTGTCGTATGTGGTGAACAACCCTGTACATATTATGTACATCGCTAGCAATAATAATTTTAGCAGGCCCACAAACATCGATCTAAGATGTTGCCCACCATATACAGAGTGGTCTGAACTGTATCCTGAAACTTCCACAGCATATTCTTCAAATAAAAATAAGTAAAAATGTTCATATAAATTAAAATTATTTGGAAGAAATCGAAATAAAAATGATCAGTTCGGACTACAGTTCGGACCACCCTGTATACAACCGCTTATAAAAGTATTAGCTTATGTGTATTTATTATGTTTAAATTAATAAATGCTTGGCATGGAATAATTGCGTTTCTCTTTACTTTCTTCTCTTTATTAATAATATCTGTTAAGTGGCATGATTTTAGTGACATACATATTATTGGGAGTATAAACATAAACATGAGTTAAATAACTAGAACAGCCAAATTCGTTTTAAAAATATTTATTGATTAAAATTACAAGTCTTAAAATGGCATCGGCCTGAACAATAACTAATAAGAGAAATACAAGTTGTCTAAGCTTCTAGAAAAAATGTCTAAACTG